AGGAAAGAACCAACTGATCTCAATTTTACTTGATTTTCTGTAACTTTTGGGTGGAAAGTGAATTCACCACAAAAGTTGCTGTATGTAGTTAAAGATGATTCCTTTTTCTGTGGTTCTCTCAAACATCAGGCAATGGTTCTATGCCAGTTAACAGTGGCAGGCATCTTGCATCTCAGTCAAGGCATGTGTTGCTAACTTAAGTCAAGGTAATTAACATGGTATAAATAACACTTCTTATAGCTAGATGTATCACAAGCTATGCAGTAGAGGATGGTTTAATTATGTATAAAATGTGTAGCTACTGTAATTGGTCTGTCCCTCTGGGTGCAGCAATATCAGACTTCCCACACTTACAAGAAAGCTTTAATTATAAATGAAATTATGTGTTAATACTAATTGGTATCTCCTGTTTGGGTTGCACTATTTTGTATCTAGCTGTCTTGGAGCAGGAAAAGGTTAAGGAGTACTGGCTGGCTTTAGAGTATTTACACTGGACTGACTCTTCTCACTGACCTTCAAAATTTATTCCCTAACTTCAGGATGATTGCGATCACTGAAGCAGATTTTAGGTTAATTCCTTTGTTTTCTCAAAATCGAGAAAGAAAGAGCTGATCTGTGCTCTGCTTTTTTTATGGGCAGAAAATAAGGCTAGAATTCCCTTAGTGAAAGCACTGCTTCCTACTTAGTATGAACTGTACTTCCAAGGGGAGTGTTTAGTTTAATTTGAGATGGCAGGTTTCGAGGGTGCTTGATTGCCCACCTTCAGCTACCTTGAAATTCATTTTGAGAAATGTAGTAGACTTTCACTCAGGTTATTTAAATAAAAATCACTTTCTTGTATGAGTGTTTTAAATGTTGTTGCAGTGTTCTCTGTATAAATCCTGTGGTGGCCCTGGTAGTACTTTTAGGACTTTTTGTGGAATAGTGGCTCCAAATTTTAAATTCTTAAACTTAACTCTCTTCACTGTGCAGGACAACTATAACATTAGTTAGCACAACAGTAGCATAGAAATTTAGCATAAAATTGGCCAGTAAGAAGTTTATTCCCCTCTGTTTTGGGGTATGGTGGTTTTTCTTCTCTCCCCCCTTTTAGGTAGGGAAATGGTGTCACCTAGTGGGTGTCAGGCTTTGCTGCAAGTAATAAAAAGGCAGTAACATAAGCTGTTATGTTCAGCTGGAATTGTCAGTGGATGCTAGAGCTCATCTAATAGATTTTAGTTTGTTAAGAGAATTTTGACAGTTTTAAACAATGCCTTTTCAAGTGATGCTTTCTATAATATGCTTAAACATGAAATCAATTTAACTTGTTTTGCAGTTGAAGCAAGCTGACTACCTGCAGTGTAGAACGCAAGACTTTGGTGTAAAAAGAATTTGTAGGACCAGACTGCCTCTTAAAGATGTAAGGTGTGCTCTTTAAGTTTAATAAATATCACTTTAGGAAAAGTGTTTTTTTTCCTGTGCCTTTTCTTCCCTGCCTTATTTCCCCCCACTCCTTGTGTCATAACAAATTAGTGAAGGGAAGGGGTTCTCCTACATTATGTCTGTAAAGCTTGAAAAGGCCAGGATGGTGTGATTGTGTTTCCAAGGTGAATTTTGCATCTCTGTCCTTGAAAAGAAGGTTGCTGTAAGGGATACACTAAAAGCAGTAATGCATATATTCTAATGTCTGTTTTTAGTAATCATCATACTCTTTTCATTAATGATTGCTTAATTGAAAGTTCTTAATATTTTAAATTTAATGCAAGTAACTTAGGCCAAAACTCAAAATGCTCAAAAAAAACTCCCAGATTTTTTTAGAAGAAATCTACAGCATCATCTTGGTATTTGTGGCACACACTCTGTTTAATCCAGATTGGATACATCAGGTACAGCAGTGGCACAAGACTCGATACTGTAAATGATATACAAGTTTCAACATATGCACTACAACTCCAAAAGAAGACAACAGGAAACTCAGTTCTTCTAGAAAGTTGTTCTTAAATGAAGCTACCTGCAGTTTTATGCAGTACGTTTTGTATCTGTCCTTTTTTATGTTTGTAAGCAAAGCCCATTTATAGTACGAAAATAGAAAATAAGGTTGAGAGCTTCTTATGACATAAAATTCCTAAAGAAAACACCATTGCATTGGAATGCCTTACTAATTATCAAAAATATTCCATCACACGCATTTTGTAAGGTATTTCATTGGTCCAAGGAGCTAGCGGGAGCTCTGGTCATAGTTGCAACAGAACTGAGAAGAACATTCGATGTGGTTATTAACAACTTACCCACGCAGCTGTGTGACTTCCTATGATTAGCACTAGTTAAAATCATAATAAAAAGAAACACGTGCACACATATACACACAAAAGTAACAGACTATTGACTGAAAACAAAACTTGAGAAGGAATTTTCACAAACTCTGTCATCTGGTCTTTTGATCCACCCAAAATCTTTCTGGCACAGTTTTTGGATTCTAAGTGTGAGTAGTAGTGCTTCTCTACTACCCTTTCTTCAAAGTTCTCCAGAGTATTTTGTAAATGTTCATGAATTAAACTTACTGAAAAGGAGAGGTATTAAATTTGTATAACTGGCAAAGAGGTGAAATGACCTCTGTGAGGTCACTTAGTGATTCATCAAGACAATCAGCAGTAGAACATAAGTTCCTGATACTAATTTTCTTTGCTGTAGTCAGTCTGCACACTGGCTTGGGATTACTTGTAATATTTTAGAAGGATAGAACCATTATGAAAGGCATTTATGGCATCATTAAATGTGAAGCCTAAAGATTTGAGTTCAGAAATCATATATTTAGTGCAGTTGATCAAAGTGTGGGAGAAAAACAAGTAATTTTTGAATCAATTAAGACATATTTGACTGAGAAGTTGCATGGAAAAGGTGTATTATTCACCTAACTCTAAAGGCAGAATAAGTTCTTCAGTTCAAAGCTGTGACGTTTTGAGGCACGTTCTTAAGCTATCCATGGATCCTTGCTTGTAACTGCTACAGTCCAGTGTAGATAATACATTAAAAACTGCAACATTCCTTTGATCTTGTTTCAATGTACTGAATCTACTTTATAGTATCTATAAGATACAACATGTTTATACCTTCTTTACTTACAAAAGCAAAATATTTTAAAAAACACTGCCTTTTTTACATGGTATTAATTTGGGTTTCATACATAACTCCTAAAGCTATTTAATTTAAAATGGTGAACACTGGTTTGCAGTACCAGTATGTTATATTTCAGGTTAAACAAGCAGCGTTAATTCAAATTTAGTATTTCTGGGAACTGTAAAAATGGATGTAATTTTCCAGCATTTCCTTTTGAATTATAGGTTCACTTTAGTCCATGCTAAAGCCTTTTGTGTTGCTTAATTTACCATTTTCCCTAGTTCACTTTTACAGTGATAATTATTTGACATACAGAAGTAGTCTCTGGTATAAGGATTTGCTGTAGAATGCTTTATATTCTTCTAATGTTTGTAGGCAGCTAACTTGCCGTGTGGGAAGGAGAGTAATTTAACATGATGCAAGAGAGTATAATGACAACAAGGGAAGGAAAATAAGGAAAGAATTATGGCTGAACATCAGGGGGAAACTCCTTGACATTAAGTTCTATTAGTCTGGAATAAGCTTTTAAGGGAAGCCGTGGGAGTCTTTTCCCTGGAGATTTTTAAATCTGATCTAGAGAAAGCAGTGCAGTATATTGAAGTGAAGAATCTTGTTGCTAGCGTGTGGTGGATTGGACTTTTTGTTGTTTTTAATTTTTGTTTTCTGTGGCCTCTTCTTCACGTGTATGCCAAGATTTTTAAGGAAAAGAAAAATAAAGAATTAGATTTCAAAAGAGTAGATGGAAGTGAAAACCTAGCTGGGAAAGGTATTTGTCATCAAGTTACTTTGCCAGTTGGGTGTGTTTCTTCACAGAAGATGTGCAGTTCTATTAGCAACCTAATGCCAGGTGAGGAGAGAGTACATATGTCAGTAGAACATGCTGAGAATTTGAGAATATATTTTTCTCCCAAGAAGGGTCTTCGGAGCGAACAAAATGCTCAGAGAAAGGTGTTGCTCCTTTGATGTTTTAATATTGTTTTATGAAAAACTGAAAAATAAGCCCCTTCTACTTGCTTTCTGTACAAGCAATCCATTTTATCTTTTTTTCATGAAGAAAACGAACTGCGCTACCAAACGTTGCGAGGAATTAGGGGGAAGGGGAAGCCTTTTGAAATGAATTGTACACACAATGGACTTTTTTTGGGAGCAGTCTTACTAATCAGGTTGTTTTGCACCATCTGCCTTTCAGAAACTTATCAGGAGCAGAACCTACCTATGTATGCTTCTGCATGCTTCTTCTCCTGGATGCAGCTCATATCTGAAGAAGCCCCCTTCCATATGCATCAGGTATGACTGGGGCTGCAGGGGTATCTGCTGGTTTTTGTGTCCGTAATAGCACAGGTGTTGTCTTGGGCATGCATGACAACGGGGAAAAGGGAGAGGTACGTTGGTAGGACTGGGTGATACTGAGGACCTCTGGAGAAAATGGTCCAAGTCCTTCAATTAAAGTTCTGGTCTAGGAATTTCTAGGATTGACTTGGTCTTATCTCATTAACGGTTTAAAAGTTGCTATTTAAAGCAACCGTGCTGTTTAATAAAGCTAACTGCCTCCATTTACTGTAGGAATAAGTAGCTATAGTGAGCAGCAGTGAGCAGCAGTTCCCATGCTCTTTGTAAATGCTTTCCCTCCCTGCCAAGATTTCATCTGAAGGCTGATATGTTATTCCCTACTGACCATTGATATGTTGTCGATAAGATTCTTGTCTTTGCTGTTGAATGAACGTGCAGTGCTTTCATTATAAGGATGTTGTTGCGTTTGGCAATCCAGGGAGGTTTTGTACAAGCATAGTTTCAAGCACTTTCAGAAACGTTACTTGGTCTACTTCAAGTCAGCATTTAAAGGGAGTCAATGTCACCATTAAAAATATTTCTAGCCTTGTTCCTCTAGGCTTAGACTTCCTTAATTTTCTCTGTCTTTATCCTCTGAAAGTCTGTGCTGAGCCAGTGACTGTATGGGGCAGCACCTGCTAAGTTAATGGTAGAAGAGGCAAGCCACATATTTTTGAGCAAGGATAAAAATGATTCTTCTTCTCTGGGACAAAACAAAGACCAGGGCTACCCTGACAATCTGATCCCAACCAGCCAGAAGCCCTAAGGATTGGTTGTCCTCCTTATTTATGCTTTTGTCTCATAAAAATGTTGAATTCTTTCAGGAAGCGTTTTGATTGATAGTAATAAAATGCACTAAATGTACTTTAGATGGGCTGCCATGATTGCTATTTACAGATAGAGACATGGGCGCAGAGAGATGAAGTGGCTTGTTTACCACTCCACGGTAAATCATGAAAAAGAAAGGCAGCACTGAGAGTCCATTTTGAGTCCCTGGCTCTTTGTAATCACTTAATCCTGTGCATTAGAAGGAACACGGTGTACCAGCATGATAGCATTTACCCCTCATTCTATGCTAGTGTAAAGAAGGGTGGAAGGTGGTGGAGAACAAGGCCTCTGATCTATAAGGCTGAGGGTTTTCAAATGGGCAGCAGATATCATGACAAGTAATGAACTTAGAGCAAAGGAAAGACTAAATTAAACATCAAGAAAAACTCAATAATGGCAAGATTAACTGCAGAATAACCTCCTACAGGAAGCAGCAAAGGCAGAGTATTTTAGTCATTTAAAACAGGACTAAACATAGTTTTGGGTAACATAGTATAGCATTGGAATAAATGAGTATAAGCTGGTGCAGCTACTGAAGGCTTAGCCATAGCCCTAATGTTTCTAGAATGTTGTAGGGTTCTAAGGAAGGTATTGAGTTAGTACATCAGCTTTTGAGTCCATTTTATAGACTACTACGTTCAGAATGCTAACAAAGCAGATTGCTAGCTCATATGTTTAAGTCAGCATGTGCATTTATTTATCTATACGTGTGTGTGTGTTTATATGTGTTTGTGCATATATAAATATTACATCAGGATAGATTATGAAAGATGTTAACAAAAAAGTCATCCCCTTGCTGAATCAGTCTCAAACAAGCTTTGAGTAATTGTTAGTTGTGTAGTGTTGGTAAATCCCTGTTCAGAAAAGGGACACTTCAAACGTTTCCTTATTATCTATTCCATTGCAAGCTCCTGGAGGCAAGGTTCAAAGCTTTTCACAGGGGTGTGTAGGGCCTAGCACAACAGAGTCTTGAACGGGCATTTGTGTGTGACCACAATAATTAGCCGGACAGTATATATGATGTGAGAGGCTCTGGAAGCAAGAGGTGGGTGACATTGTTCATCACTCTGTGCCCGTTGTGGATTGCATCTGTAATGAGAAGGGGACTTGAGAGAGGCAGAATGGAAGAAAAAGATTATTCTTCTTAGAGGGGAAAAATCAGTTACGTTTCAGGACTTTGTCTTTCCTGACAATGGATTGTTCCTAGGAAGATTTCAGAAAGAGTGGTAGGACTGACCACAGCCTAGTTAGAAGGACTAGCTTCCTGGCAGTACCACAGTGTTACTTACAGGTTTTGGTTTACTAGAAATGTGTGACTTTTCCCAAAATCAATGTGTAAACTGAAAAAAGAAAATGCTGTCTGTACCACACCTTATCAAATGTTTTCCAGACTCCAGTACTGCTCCCCCTTCTCAGGTGGATGCACACTGTAGATCCTGTGCTAGGACTGGAGAACTAAAATTACTAATCTAGTCTACCCCCAAAATCAGTGCAACCCAGAAGCCATTGATGAGACAACTGGAGCCCCAGGACTGTGAAAAAGCCAAATTCTTCGCTGTCCATGCAAGGTATTTGGCTCTAGGGTTAATTATTACCAAATATAGATCCAGACGTTATTTGGCTACTATTTACAATGGGTTGTATGTCCAACGCTAGCAAAGAAATTCATGGATAGAAAACAAAAACAAAAAGGCATGGGCATATGTTACAGAGAACATCTGTCAGACTTATGAATGCTTGTTGTAGCTGAGTTCAGTGCTTTCTCATTCTTTACCATTTTTGTGTACAGTATTAAAAAAGAATCCTACTTTTTTTCCTTTTTAAAAATACAGAACTGATAGTCTAGTCACAGTCTTACAAGTAAGTGATAACAAAAATAGAAAGCAGATATCCATGAGGGACTAAAACTCTACTAAAGCCTGTCTTTTTTTTTCCACAAATATGTTTTCACAGACAATAATTAGCAGACAAACACACTGTTTGCAATTGCACTGTATTGACTTAAAAGGCGGATACAAAATTGTCTAAATAAAGAATGCCATCCAGGGTGAAATAGTTGTGTGTGTGTGTGCGTGTGCACACATATGCGCTGACACATGCTTGCATTTTCCTACTGTGCACTCAATCATGAAAATATGCTCTATTCTTTGTAATTCAGTGTTGCTCTGATGTGGTTCTGTTGCACACTCGCACACGCACACACACAGGGGAATGGAAACAGATTTCTGTGACAGGTGGCTTCTTTGTCTAAATCTTTTCCTATAAAAGAAAAAAATGTGAAATTTTGGTTGGTTTAAAGGTTCTGCTCCATGAAGAAAAAAAATTCACAAAATCCATTGTTTTTCACCTTTTTCAGTCATTTCCTCATGAATAAATATTATCCATTAAAAACCTTTAAAAAGGTGCTGCGATACACAGTGTTATATTTCTGTTTTCTTTATTGACTCTCTTGTTGCCATGATGATTCTTTCTCTCCAGCCTCCACAGGCAATTTCTGCTCCGTACTGTGGCACAACACCCTCTCCATGCAGATTTTTCCTTTAACCAGCCTCTTCCTCCTCCTAATCCTTCCTCAGTCCACAGCATGAATGCGAGTCTGAAGAAAGCTGCCTTGTTAGGTCTCCATTGCTAATTCAATGACAAAATGTCAGGTTGGTCCGTCCAGGCACAATTTGCAGCAAAAAAGGAACGTGGAGGTGTGGAGGGAGAGGGACACTGGTCTTTCAGCCTCTTTCTGTGCATGAGACATCTTACAAGGCAGAGACCTTGACTATGTTGCTTGTGGTAGTGGTAGAAATGTTCGTGGAATGGCCAGGGCTGTTGGGTGGAGGCCTACTCTCGCCTTCTGGCGTTAGTGCCGGTGGTGTGGGGATGCTGATGATGGCTGTAGTTATCTGCGCAGTTTTGCAGTTCGGTCGCAGCCCATCATCTGACTTCATGTTGAGACTGGAACGACTAGAAAACAAATTTAGTTTTGTTTTTTTTTTTTAACTGAGAGTAGGAAGGCTGGGAATGGTAATTGCTCTTCAGCAATATCTTATTCCCCTAAATTAGGGGCACTGAAATATTACAGAAGAATCTACTTAATTGCTTTCCCCAGTTTACACTAACCTTTTTTAATGTAATTCCTGTTAGGATACAGCCTTGCATAGGGCAGATCATTTTACATTTTCTGTTTCATTCTTGCATAAATCTGGTATAATTAAGAGGGCACTTAAATATACTGTACTGTGTACTGCATCTTTTCAGAGCACAGGTAGGTCTTCCTGAGAAAGATTTTTGTCTTCCTTGCAGTTTTAATGCCTCTTTTTTCACTATCCCTTGATCTTTTCTATTTTTTCATCCCCCTGCAGTAGTCTCAGGGATCTGGCAGCTGGGAGCATTTTTATTAGATCTGCATCAATTGCATCCTATAATTAATTACAGAGGGGAAAATGATGGGTTGATTTCTGTGCATCTGCATAGCTGCAGGAGTCTGCTATTACCAGCCCAACATGTTCATTTTAAACACAAGGCCTGCTCTTTTAAAATGTAAAGCTCCCAATTGGAAAGCTCTTGCTATGGTTATCTCAGAGTGACTTACCAAGAGGATTTTTCTTGACCTCTCAAGCATCCCAAGAAACACCATGGAACCCATTCTGTTTCCCCAGCTATCTCAGTCACAAGCTGAGTCCTCATGGGCAGAGTCTGAGATTCACCCAGTGAGTTGCATTCCCCATAAAAAAGTTCCCCCAGTTAGTTGCATTCCATATAAAAAGTAACTTAAAAGCCTTTTCTTTTGCCAGTGATTTGGAGCTGTCACAATAAACGTCCTCCTGCATCGGCAGACTCAGCAGAAAGACCTAAGGCAGAGTTTCCAAAAGTCTGGGAAGCTGCATCCTGCTTCTGTAAAAATTATGAAATCTCAGCATCTCTTGCCCTTCTGCAGCCTCTGTAAGCACTGTTACAGACCAGCTCCAAATGAGCGATTATTCAGAGTAGATGATGCTGATCCTCATAATATATTCTCTGTTCTTACACAGTTTGGTAGTAAGTGAAATAACTAACAGTGGTGACAGTTAAAATACCATGGCTGACATCTGATTTAGCACTGCTGAAATAGGATAGTTCACATTCCCCTGGATTACTATTTCAGGTGCTGGTTTAAACTTCTATCATCTTGAAACTGCAATAGCCAGAAATTTGTTTTGTGCTTATTCATTCATAATTTGTCCTCTGAAATGCTCTTCTGACTTCACCCTGGCACAGAGTAGTCCTGTGCTGTGCTAGGGGCAGCTTTGTTTCAGTTTCCAGAGCCTTTTGATAGGAGTGGGGAGGAGAGGAATGCTAGTTTCAGAAACAGCCCAGTGTACAAGAGGCTTAATGGGCTGAGGGGAATTTAGAAAGTCATTTAATACTTGCAAGCAAGATGTGGTGAGGAAATGATTTTTCAGCAAGCTATGTATAAAATGACACACCCAATTTCAGAATTGTCTATTGAAAGAGACATTTCTTCTCCTATGGAACTAATGGCTCTTTATGTGAGAGCTATTGAGACACCATTGTGAAATTCCTCCTTTGTTCCCCAGTGATGCTTGTTGCTTACAGTTGTAATTCAAACTTTTGGATAGTGAAAACCAGTAAAATGAGTTTTCCTGGTGGATCAGGTCAGCATGTACAGCTCTCTACCGGCTTTTGCATGTAGACACTGATGAACCAGTTTCCTTTGTCTCTGTCTGCCTGGGCCCAGTAAAAACTTGCAAGTACTGGGCTATGTGGGAGGTGTGTGGTATGGGTGGTAGAGTGACACTGTGCAAGCTTTGGTGACTGGCTTACAGCTGGGGACTGCTGGCCTCCTGCCTGTGCCATTAAGAGCTTTATAGGCAGATTTCAGCTGGACTTCATTCTTCTAAGTCCAGTCTGGTCAGAGAAGAGCTACGTTAGAGTCCAGCTTTGACTTGGTTCTCCCCCAGTCCCCTGTGTTGCACACAGCAGCTAGGAGTCACTATTCTTGGGATTCTACTAGAAGGAGGGAGGCCTGGATCCTCCCAGCTCTGTATCTCTCTCTCTCTCTGGCTGGAGAATATGCCTGCGAGAAGTTGCAGCAAACCCATTTCAATTGGATAATGCCCTTTTAGGGGTTTGCATGCAGTAGTTAGCAGCAAGAGCCTACTTACTGTACCTTGTTGTAAGTGAGGGCTGCTCACTGCACTGGATGTGGATAGTGCTGAGCTCCTGCATACTCCGCAGGCGAGTGGCTGGCACACTGGAGTTGGGGAGGTGAGTGGTCTTCTTGTTACGGCGAGAACAGCAGGAGGTGGTCAAACCATGGTGACTTGACAAGGAGGGGCTCCGAGAAGATGGGTAGTTTTGCATTGAGCTCTCCATGCAGTTTTGTTCGAACAGCTGCTCATCTATGAACTCATGGTTCTGGCAGGAAAAAGAACAACGTCGTTACTCTCTGTGGCAACAGCAACAGCTATGACCCAACAGCAGTTTATTTTCAATAGTGTATTTTGCTAGTCTGGTGGGAAGTGTTAGCCCCTTGTCTGTGTAAGATGCTTTCTGCCCTTGCACCTGAAAATGTTTGCACTAGGCAGATCTAAAGAAAGAAATGCAGACAAGAACAGAGAAAGAGATGACTTTGCCCTTCCACTCGCTACAGCCAAGAGGTTTTGCTGTCCTGAATCAATATGGGAATAAGAGAAGCTGTTGCAGTGACAAAAGCATGATAATCTGTCAATACTGCCTTGCTTACACAATCTGAGATGGTTAATATATTGTGTCTGATTTTCCTTTCACTCATATGTCTGGATCCCAGAAGTGGCTTCAAAACGTCTGCGATGCCACATGGTTGTTAAACCCCACAGGAGAGGAGATTCAGGCTCCTTTTTCCATTATTCTTGGGGACAGGATTGTAATATATCTGGAGGATTGTCTTGTCAGATAATTTAATTACAGGATGTTACTTGTATTTGCTGTTGGGTGCAAAGCATACCTGGAATACACTGGGTGCTGCAATTAGATGAGTTACAGCTGGTAGAAATAAAAATGGCAGCTGACAGAGGGAAGTGATGGGGGAAGGAAATCCAGAAAACTGAATCTTTAAAGCATTTTTATGCTAAAGAAACAAAATATCCTGAAAGGAAGAACTTTTGTGCGCATGTATGAATGCCCCAATAGTTGTAATGCACATACTTCATCCAGTCTGTCAGCATCAGAAAGGATGGGTAACAAAAACAACCAGGGTGAAGGCAGCCATTGATTTTCATTGGAACAAATAACTCTTACTGTAAAATAAAAGCACTGGGTAGCAAAAAAAGAACCACGTGCACAAACTCCCAAGGACAAGACCAGGAACAAGAAAGGAACCAAACACTTGAGACACATCACAGAGATCATAGAAGAACAAATTGAATTAAAAGGGAAATACCTTGATGGTGGAAGTTCGTACAGATAACAGGGGATCATCCACAAGATAGGACAATCCCTACAGGACAACATGCCAACAAAAGATAAAAACACATTTGATTGTCCGTTCCGGCATTCAAAAATTTAGTCCCAGCATTGTGTCCTTTGGTCTCAGCATTGCAGCTGTCTTGCTCAAGTTTGAATGGGCAACTGGACCTTCTCTTTACCAAACCTTGCTTGAATCAGACTCCTTTGTTCCTTCGTTCTTATACTTTAGCTTTTTAATGTTCTTTTCTTGAACATAAGACTTGTGACAACTTTATTACTTTGTTCTTTTGAGAGCCAGAATGCAAAGGAAAACAAAGTTTGAGCTGCTGATTCACGAGTAAACAAATCTGAATTTTATTGTCATTGGATCACCAATGGCTATGGTTTTTGATCATACACTGGAAACACAGAAGAAAGGTTTGGGCTGAAGGATTGGAGTCAGTGGACATAGCAATGGGAGAAAATATAGCATGTGAATGTCCATACTCAATCTGGAAGGAGGAGTGCAGAAACTCCTTTTGTTTGTACCAACTCCATGTGTTGTGTTAATATGGCAGAGTAGCCTTTGTTAGAGCAGCTGCAGGTACCTCAGGGTCACTTTGTCTTCTGAAGCACCAGATCTGTGAGCCGTTCACAGCCATTTGATTGTAAGACTTTATTCTAGTGACAATTGCAGATACTGCGAAAATAAATACTGTATTTTCAGAATCCTTCTGCCTAGTTTAAGGAAAGGTGAATTGCCCATTGAAACAAGTTTGCAACCATGGTACATTCCTCATTGCATTCCACCTGCAACTTTGTATCATCAAAAAAATGACTCTGCAGTGTTTAAAAATTCTTGTACTATGTTTTAATGCTTTGGAGGGAGAGGTGCTGCATAGTATTTTGATAGATTATGTGCATTGAAAAGAATTTCCACACAAGCTGATTGAACTATTTTGATTGATAACTTCAGACCAAAATCAAAACTTGCTATATGGTTTAATGCAACATAATCGTAACAGTTGGCTGGAAAATGGAGGGAAAATGCCTTAAATATTCTGTAGATTCTCCCTCTAGGTTTTCATCAAAATTCAAAGTATCATTACTATTGCTGTTCTTTAAAGAAAAATAACAACATTTGGAACGTTTTCAACCACTGAGACTCACCCTTTGAGTAGCCTTGGGTGCTGGAGGCAATCTAGATTTATTTGTGTGGTAGGCTAATACATCTACAAATGAGGATATGATATGGCTGCATTACTTCCGGCACCCAAACTGGCTCGTTAATAATGGAGCGACTCATGCAGCTCCCAGTGCAAAATAAAGTTTACAAATGGAAGTATTACTTGTGAAACGTGGGTCATAGTAGTGAAGCTTTTAAGCGTGGAGTTCTAAACTAAAGAACTATATTGTGAAATGTCTGCTTGTTATGTAGCATCCAAAATGACTAGAAGCAAAGGCAAGATGAGTCTTATAAAATAAACTCGGTAGTTATTGATACAGGAAGAATCAGTTCACTCTCCTTGGAGTGGTGACCTTCATCATTCATTGTGATAAACCAGCTCTCTTCAGCAGGTCAGTGTGATTAACAAGTCATCTTCTTCCAGTGTATTGCTGACGCCTAAATGGTGTTATTCCAGCATAAACTGAACTATGAAAGTGGAGGTGATTAATCTTAAAAGAAAGCTCTTGCAAGTCGGAAATCAGAAGTACGTTTGATGGTGGATGCAGATAGAAAGAGGCATGAATATTTCAAGGGTTAAACTCTCTTTGCTCTTTCTAGAATGAGCCATGATATAAATAATACGCTCCATGGTATAGATCATGTATTCTCCTACTGCAAAACCTCTTATATAAACCTGGAACATCACAGATTCGTGAGATAACTATCTGAAATTTTCCAAGAGAATTCTGCATACAGAAACACTCAATAATGAAAAATAAAACTCTTAATCCAACACCTTGTGTGGCATAAACAGGAAAGTCATCATAGCGGAAGCTGCTTGACTAGCTCTGAGAGAAACTACCTGCTCTTGAAAACCAGAACTGTAGTGAGAAAAGATGTATGCAACCTTTAAACCCATTAAGAGAGTTCATCTGCTCTGTTCCTTATGAAGTGCTAAAGGTTATTTTTGCCAGCTGATTTGCATTAGGGTCTAGGTCACAGTTTGGAGTCACTGACATCAGCTTCCTCCTCTAAGACAGCACAACTGTTCAGTGTTACTAATTGGCACAAGCAGTGAGGATGTATGATGTGTGACTGACAACACAAGACAAACGCAGCTTAGCTCTTTTTCATGAGTTCTGGAGAAATTAAACTTAGTATACATCTTGTTTATAGGATCTCCCTAGCTCTTTGCCTGCTGACATCTTATTTGCATTCAAGTGAACTGAGCAACCTGCTTCCGACTTTGTACTGGTGCAGATGACTGTGGAGTAGCAGACAATCACACCCTTTATCCCTTTGCATTGTGATTCTTTTTTAAAAAAAGTCATAATGAAATAAAAGTATATTTGTCCCATTGCAGCACATTCTTGGGAATTTGGGTGTCAGACCCTTCTGGCACAGTTTGTGGGTCCACTGGGTATGTACGACCGAGTGCCAGTTTAGGGCATACTGTGCACGCGTCTTTTCCTTATGAAGCCTGGGCCAGGCACAAAAACTTAGCAAGATGTAGAAGGGCTGTGTTTCTACTTACAGTTGTTTTTTCCAGGCAGTGCAGCAGGTGGTGATGTTGGCTTTCAATTAAGGAGGTGCCTTTAGTCATGTGCTGCTCATCTTCAGTAGATCCCTAAATAGCCAGAGAAAGGAGAAAAAAAATCCCAAACCAGGAGTAAACAAACAAAACTACCCAAGATAGCTTTCACAGCAGAAAGACAACAATTTCAGTGTTGGTGGCTCTCAAGTTCTTACCGTAATTCTTAGGTTTCCTCGTTTTTTTTAATGCTGTGGCTTGTAAACTCTGGTGAGGATCTCAGCTTTGATTCAAAAACTGTATGTTTCCAGCTATTTTGTAGCTGTGGTAGAGACCTGGGAAATACTGTTTACGTGGTGTGAAGGTTCAGGAACCAGAAGGTAAAAGAAAAGAACTTACGATGTTTTATTTTTGCAAAAATTGTTCAGACTTTTAAGCTTAATGTGACCTTTGAATGCTAACGGATGTACCCTGAACTCTAGCATCTGTTAGGAGACAAAGCCGAAGTTGTCTCGGTTGTGCTGAGCTGGAAGCGCTGGCTCTATCTGACCTTTAGTGCTATGCAGAGCTGGGCCTGTTGGAACTTGCATGTGTCATTGCCAAAACCTCGAGTCATAGTTGAAGGCTAGATCAGAGAATATGAACCTGAGTTTTGTGTTTTGGATGTCACCTGTTTGTAATGCTGTTTTGAGTGACAGGACTCCTGGATCTACCTCCTCTCTTTGTGAACACATAGCTATCTGTTTTTCATACTTTGTACCTGCAGTGCGTTAAAATGGAGCTGCCCTTTCCCTCTGTGGTTTTGTGTGTGGCTGTTGGTGGGGAGTTTATAACAGACCCTGAATCCACCGGGCTGAACTGGGTTCAGCAAGAACTGAAAGTATTTAACCCCTTCTGAGGTCAAGCCCATTTTGCAAGGCAGTGTGAAGTGCAAGGCGAGGAACAGGCAGGCACTAGGGACATAAGAATTAATATATATACATTATCCTATTCAAGCATACTTGAAATGAAGAAGCATCGCGCAGCAGTGGCAAAGGGTTTACGATCACAGAAAATGTGGTGGCAGTGTCCTAGGAGAAGGAGGCCCTATCTGCGTTACCTCCCGATGAAGGTATGGCTTTCACTCAGTAGACTGGCTTACTGTGATTTGTGTTTTATTAACACAGTGCCTAGGAGCCCTGAAAATTGACCAGGAACCCTCTGTACATCACTTAGCACAATAACAGAGCAAGGCAGGCCTGTCCCAAGGAGCTCGTGATCCAAGTATTTTGAATGTTCAAATATTTTCAAATGTATTCATTGTACAGGCACACCCGACAGCCTCAGTCAGGAACCAGCTTTCCTTTATTTTCCCTGTGTACTGAAATTGTTCAAATATCAATATGGCATAACATTAGGATAAGCTACAGATCTCAGACTAATTGTTGTGCTTTTGTAAAGCTATGGGTCTTGATCTGCTAGGAACAGCTGAAATAGAAATGGATAAGAGGTTAGGAACTTGAGTTCAGTATATGCATTGTGCTTAGTTCATGCAGAAAGCTTGCTATTAAGCATTCATCAGAATGATGTTAGGCCAGCTTAGTGAACTTGGTGGTAGAATCCAGTACTCTGTATTTTTGATCGCCACGCTGTATTAATGAATCGTATGCTTACTTTCCTCAAAATACAGCATCTGTCACTTACTGTATGATAGGATGATCAGATGCACCTCAGAAACGGAAGGAAAAGAACCAGTAGGGGTTGTTTAAAGAGTCTGTATGCTATTCTAGGTTTATTTTTCTAGGTTTTCTAGGTTTTTCTCTATTCTGTGGTGGCAAACTTAAAATCTAGATCGTTAAGGATATTCTTTTACTGATTAAACTCGCTGATCTTGAAACTCAACATAATTTCATGACACGTTTTCTAGAATCAGATGTGTTAATCTGTGTGTCTTTGGTGATTAGCATTTCAAAGACAGTTAGATGTATTAAAATGGCAATTAGGGGTTAGAAACTGTGCCCTCTGAGTAAAGGGTGCTTGGTATCTTCTATAATGCCTAAATCCAAAAAATCAAAAATTGGTGTGTATTGCTTGAATATCTGCTTAGACACAAAACTGCAGTATCTGACTGTTCAGGAGGAAAAAAGGGTGGGATGGGAGAGACAGTGGAACATCTTGGCAGAAGTGCCAGGATTTTGTCCTTTGCTC